TACAGCATGTTTTATTAAAAATAGCGATGTTGCCACTGGTTTAGAGTAGAAGCGACAACACCGCATAAACAAAAATATTTTTAAAGTGTAGATTATGGTCGTTTATCCCGGTTGCCAAATTTTCAAAATGATCCGCTTTTTAGTTCTCTATAAACGTCTAATACGCCATCCACCGCGGGACACCCTGTATACAGTCAATTCAAAAACTAATATTGACATTTCTTAGGAATCAAATAAAAATTCCCTAGAGTTTTCCCTAGATTTGTACTACGTTTTTCGAATGGTTAGTAGCATGATAAAAGGATCCGAGAACGTAGCCGGACTGTTGTCGATAGTGACACAGAGTGCCGTTTCAGCCGACTATCGCTTTTGAAAATAGATATCTACTATGGAAAGCAAGCTGTAGAATTCTATAGAGCACAGAGTCCCAGAGCAGAATCTTTCTTTAATCGCTTCACAAAAATGGTTTCTCTTGTCCAGGAAATAATTTTTTTAATTTCCAGTGGGGGATTGACTTTTGAAAAACGGTTGGAATTAAAGGAAAGTGGTCGTCCAAAACCAAAGCTTGATATATGCCAAACTACGAAAGAGCAGTCTAGGTTGCAGTGCATTGGCTATGCTCAGTATTGAGAAGGCATTTATCAAAAAATTGGGAACTCCAATGAACTAGTTATTGACTACTTTGCTCATCAGAACGATAGGAGAATTGATTGTTGTTCAAACGTGTCTAAATTTGGGACTCAGCCGACTTAAACAATAAACATTAGATCCACCTAAAGTAAGTTATTTTTTCTATTTAAAATGTAGGGATGGGTCTAATTAACTAAATTGTTGTTGTATTTTCTTTATTAATTAGATATTTACTGCACGAATTCTAAAAAGGTTTCCAACCTGTTGTTTTCTACTTGACGTAATAGGGATGTTGAAAAAATATCGATATATCAAATGGATGATATTTTTCTTCCGATATATCGATAATATCGACCGATATTTTTTGTTTCGATATATCGGTATATCGATATTTAAAGTTGACTATCGGTACTCGATATATTTATCCACCACCATCAAAAAAAATTCACTGCTCTACGCTCCAAGAACTTTCCAAGGCAATAATTTTGATTAAAGCCTAGTACTCATAACTGCAAAATATGCTTTTTTTGACATTACTTCGACAATTTGACGTTTGATTCACGCATAAAACGTCAAATTATCGAAGCAATGTCAAAAAAGAGTGAATTTCGCAGTTATGAGTACTAGGCTTGAGAGGTTTCACATCGAGCGATTCAGAGCAAGTGGGACCAGTGGGGCGTGGGGTGGTATCACAGAAATGTTTAAAAAAAAACTTTCTATAGTGGCCAGGGACCCGGACCGAAATGAAATATCGGTTCCGTTCCGGTTCCGGTCCACAGCGTCATGACGAATATCGGTTCCGTTACGGTTTCGGTTCTAAGAGAAATATTTCGATTAGGGATGTCAATTTTTATCAAAACACCGGTTTTTCCATTAACCGGTTAATTTAGTAACAGTTTTAACTGCCCGGTTATAACTGATATAAAACACCGGTTATTCCGATTAACTGGTTGTTCAGTTATTTCTCCGAATTTTATCAGAATAATTGCATTATTTATACTATAATGTAAAATTAGTTGAACAACAACATATATATCTTTATTATAAAAAAAAATCGGGAACTGTTACATGTTAAGAAAAATCATCAAATAATACCTACACTTTTCTTCTCTTCTGTCATTTTAAACATGAACCCATTGAGAATTTTACGATTTATTTAATAAGACAAGAGATAAGTCTACATGTTTCACTTTCACCGGTTATAAGGTATGAAACCCGGTTATCCGGTTATAACTGGAAGCAAAAAACAACTGGTTTTAACCGGTTAACCGAAAAGAAAACACCGGTTTTTCGGTTTTAACCACCGGTTATTGACATCCCTAATTTCGATTCGGTTCGGACCAATAATTTGAGTTTTAACGGTTCATACCGGTATATAGTTTTTCACAAATATCTAATGGCCATTTGCACTGACCATTTCAAGAAGCATCCCTTAAAACGGTCATTACAGAAAAAATTATGTTTCTCTAATTTGTGGTTTATTTTTTTTGGATTTCTCTGCCCATCTGCAACAACTTTAATAATCATAATAATTACTATTAAAATAGTTATTTTTGTCACAAGTACCTAAAATGAAGTGTTAGCAGAGCACTACGGGGTGGATTTTTACTGTAATAATTCGACTCAACTCGCTACTGTTATTTCTTGTATTAATTATCGTTTATTAATTATTAAAAACATAAGTACAAAATTGTAGGTTACAAACGATTCTTAGGTTTTGGGTTACAACAGAATGAGTATCTTGGCGCCAACCTTGCTTGACAAGACGACATGACAACTGATTGACATTTTGACAATCTTTTAAATATTTAAAGAAATCTGTAATACAGTGCGGTGTTGCCGGTTCATAACAACAGCCTCACAACAATATAACAAGCCATCTACAGACATAGGCTGATAAGCAAAATAATGTTATTGTTCTATTTATTGCAACATGAAGTTTTTCAGGACGAAGCATTGCTGTTTCCGGACGAGGCGTTAGCCGAGTCCGGAATAGGAGATGAGTCCTGAAAAACTTCGTTAGGTACGTGTGACAAACACTATTTTTTGTCATACGCTTTTTAGATTTCTTCAGAACGCTAAAATTTGCAAAATTTCCTTAATTTTTGAAATCATAGCTGTTTTTGGGAGCGTATGACAAAAAATTTGTGTGTTTTCGATCAGTGATGACGTAACAGCGTGTCGTTTCTCGCCTTGACGTAGTGCTTGCACCAGTTGCACCACGGATTAGGAGGTGTTTTCTCGCATCTCAAAATTTTTAAACATTTTCCAGAACTGGTTTAAATCAGTTTCACAATGACGTCATAATTTCTCGGCACGAGGAAATGGTTTTAAAACGTGGATTGGATTGTATTTCGAAACGGTTTAGAACCATAGTACATTATTTAATATTCTAAAACAACCGTTGTTTAGATCTCATTTGCATCTTCCTCTTGTTTATTGACTATTATGTTAATCAAATTTAATTTATATTTTTCATCATACATGTATATTCTGAACTACGAACGCAAACCGCTAACGAGACCGTTGATGACGTCAACAACGGTTCAACATCGTATGAATTTGACTCCACACAATCCTGTAGTAGTATGTAAAATCCTTGGTGTCGGTGTAGCCGTGTAGCTTAGCCGAATTCAGAAATGCGCACTGTCCAATGTCCAACGCTCTGTTTTTTAAAGTGTTAATTTAAATATGATAGACCCAAACAGCAAACAGCTTAATTTATAAAATCTTGGAACCGAAAAATACCGGTAAAAACCGATTAATTTATATCGGTTCCGGTTCTGCCTGTCCTACAACATTTCTATGGAATATGGGTTTCGTCCGCAAAAAAAAAAAACGGATTCGGTCCAATATCGTTCCGGTCCGGGTCCCTGCCAATAAGTGCCAAATTCGAGTAGCTACAAGACAAAAAAAAAATGAATTGAATCGGTTGAAAAATAAAAATTTTAGAAGGGTGTGGTCAGTCCTTATGCGAGAAATAACATGCTGCCTACGTCACAACTGGTGATTTAGCGTTGGGTGGGGGGAGAGAGGGGATTTGTTCCACACAGGCCTTATGAAGATAGGCCATCCTGTAATAGTAATAGTAGTGTGTATCATCCTTGAGGCAACCCACCTCTCCCTCTCTCAAACAATCATGATCATTGATCACTGCTTTGCCTGCAAATCCGATGTTTTGTGGAAAATCCTACTAGTTATGATGTCATACATGAATATTTTTTTTAAGAATCCATGAAAACGATTTAAAATGAATAAACGAAAAGGAGCATTATAATTTTTCTTGAAAAATTCAAAACAATAATAAAATACACAAAGTCTAGGTTAGTTTGATTCGGCTTCTAGTATTGAAATTGTTTTGTCACAGATCGTTTTGTGGTGAGTAATCAGAAATATATCTGTGAGCACTACCAGTGTTGCCAGGTATTATCAACTTTCTTGCGCCAGTTTTAACATTAAAATGCGCCACCAAAGCGCCATAAGAGTAAAAAGTTGTGGGAGCTTTGAACATCGGCTATTAGGCTATGTAAAGGCTATACAGTTATATTTATTTTAACCATGAAAATTGATAAAACAAAACTACCAACTACAGTGACTCAATAAACCTTTTTTACCAACAATGGCGGCCCCTAGGGCCGAATTTTTAGTCGCTTCTTGAGGTTTTCTCAGACCTTGAGTGGGTATTCACACCAAAGTAGCATGCGACGTTCGACTTGCTACTAGAAAGTACGAAAGTAGGAAGCACGCAAACAATCTAATGGCGATTTCCATTTGTCATCAATGCCGCACTGAATGTATTCGCATCTTTTTCTAAAAGCATATAACATGTATATAGGGGTACATTTGTTTTTGCCCTGATTCGACAAATGGAAAACGCTATAAAATATACGACGCATGTTGCCACGTTGCATTTTTGCGACGCTACTCCGGTGTGAAACCTACCATATATTTCTAAAGGTTATAGCAAGTGTCCATGTGTCCATTCTAACCTCACGACCTCCAAGGAAGACTCAAGGAAAGACTATAAATTTGGCCCTAAAGCCTAAATAAGGTCTCGCCGCCATATTCTTGCTTATTTTCAATATTAAATATATGGGATTTCAAAGAACCAATCAAAAATAAGGCGGCAATTGTCGCCACTGTGGTTTATTGAATCCTGATCTTGAAGCGCCACTTGTGGGAGCCTGGCGCATTTTCCAAAATTTAAGGCGCCATTTCAATTTTCAAAGCGCCGCTTTGACGCAAATGCGCCACACCTGGCAACACTGAGCACTACAAAAAAATACAGTTGGCAGCCCTGTAAATAACCTTCATAAGAAAGAGGGCCCCTCCAATCAAAGTGTCAGGCATAATATTATTGTTATTGATAATAATTATTCACAATAAGTAAAATGTTGCCCTCCTGCGTACGCTCAATGTGCAAAAAAAGCCCCAAAGTGAGTCAATAATCATTTCTCCCAACACAATTACATAATCGATGTTTTTTTCCAGAAAATTCTAGGGCTGATGGGGCGACAAGGCTCGATAGTGGCGCAGAAAGGCTCGACAGTGGCGCAGGCCCAATTCGAAACCCAAGTAAGCAATTATTTATATTTATATTCAAATCCTTAATAAATTGCGTCAAAAATAGCCTTTCAAGCTGCACAAATTAACGGAGGCCCCGGCCACTCAGGTGACCCTAACCAGGGACGAAGCCCTAGAAATGTACACGCAAATGCACACCATACGACGCATGGAAACGGCCGCCGCCAATTTATACAAAGAAAAAAACATTAGGGGCTTTTGTCATTTGTATTCTGGACAGGTAAAAATTGTTACTACAAAGCTCCACTATTTATATACGTTATTCTTTAGGAAGCAGTCGCTGTAGGCTTCAAACATGCCCTAAGACCCCAAGATTCAGTAATTACAGCTTACAGAGCTCACGGGTGGACGTATGTGATGGGGGTGAAACCCCTAGGGGTTATGGCCGAGCTTACCGGTAGACAAACGGGATGCGCCAGAGGCAAAGGTGGCTCAATGCACATGTACGCCGATAATTTCTACGGTGGCAACGGGATTGTGGGGGCGCAAGTGCCTTTAGGTGTGGGCATAGCCTTTGCAGCTAAATACAAAAACACAGATGGCGTTTGCGTCACTTTATACGGCGACGGTGCCGCCAACCAGGGCCAAGTATTCGAGTCCTACAACATCGCGAAACTATGGAACCTTCCTTGCATATTTGTTTGCGAAAACAACGGCTATGGTAAGTACCAACAAACATTATTAAACAAAATTTATTAATTTAACAAACAAGGAATGGGAACCAGTACTGTGAGGTCTAGTGCAAGTACCAAGTACTATACTCGTGGAGATTACGTTCCTGGCATTTGGGTGGATGGAATGGATGTTTTGGCGGTAAGAGAGGCGGCCAAATTCGCGATAAAACATTGCGCCACCGGTCAAGGTCCTATAGTCATGGAGGCTCAGACTTACAGGTACTCGGGCCACTCGATGTCCGATCCCGGTACGAGTTACAGGACCAGGGAGGAGGTGCAAGAGGTGCGCCAAACCAGAGACCCCATCGCTTCGCTTAAAGAGAAAATTATTTCGTCCAATCTGGTGACTGCCGAGGAAATTAAGAAAGTCGATGCGCAGATCAAGACGGATATTGATACAGCTACTGAGCAGGCTAAAAAGGACAAGGAGATTGGACTGGATGAGCTTTCAGCGGATATTACGGCCAATCATTTGGGAAGCGACATCAGGGGCGTGTCGATTTTCGCCCCCTTGAAGCACAAACGGATCGGGCCCGCTATTAATTTGAAATAATTGTTGTTGGTGCTATTAAAATGTTTTTAATAATTAGAGAAATGTGTGTTGGTTCTATTCTTGTATTATCCTTGATCCAGACCACGGTTCTCAAAGTTCATAGGTTGTTTGATAATGGGTAACTTGTAACTCCTTATGGAGATTTACATTATGTTTAAACACCCCATGTTAAATTACATTGATCAATATCAGTATTTTACTCGGTATTTAATTATAAACTTAAGAATTTGTATTTTGTTTAGAACAACGTTAATCCTGGTAGAAGTGTGAATCTACCTTTAGTTGGCATGAAAAAGTTTGGTTAGGATTTTTCACGTTGTTGTTGTTCTGTCTGTTCGGGTCCAGCCTGAGCGTTGGCATGTTGTGCAAAATAAAAAGTTAATAATTCGCCGTTGTTTCATTGAATTTTACAAGCCCAAGCCATTAATTTTAACAGGTTATGGGCCCAGGCTCGCGATCAAGCTTGTAAAATCGTGAAAGCGGGATTTTTTTTTTGGACAATTTTGGTTTTGTTGAAACTGGTTTTTTCGGTATCGTATTTTCGGTGTCCGAAAAGTCGGGTTAAGGACAGTATAGTCGTGCGCGATATTGTTCGTGTGAAAACTCGTGCAGGTAGTTGCACAGAGGAAAACCCAGTCGGGGCTTGAAGAAAATAAATAAAAACCAAAATGGGAGATCAGGCAATTCAAGTTATAAAATTCAATGGTGAAAACTGGACGACTTGGAAGTTCCAAGTGCTGGTAACATTGAAGGCAAAGGCTTGTTTCGACATTGTGAGTGGAATCACTATCAGGACAGCACAAAATGCAGAAGAATATGACAGAAAAGATGCTAAGGCACAAGAAATCATTGTATCGCGGCTACATGAGAAGATAATTACACATATTCTGTCGTGCAGTACAGCAGCAGAAATGTGGACAAAACTCGAAACAATATATGAGCACAAGTCACAAGTTAGTGTGCATTTACTCCAACAAAGATTCTTCAATTTGGAATATAAAGAAGGCGGAATAGCAGAATTTGTATCTCAAGTAGAGGAGATTAAAGCTAATTTGAAGCATTTAGGAGAAGAAATAAGTGAGAAAATGGTCATAACTAAAGTTTTGATGGCACTCCCAGGTAATATGAGGCACTTTGTGACAGCATGGGAGTCATCTCCTAAAGATAAACAGACTCTCACAGAATTGACTTCAAGATTGATGATTGAAGAGGAGAGGAATAATGGCATAGAAGAGTCAACAGCACTGGCAAGTAAGTACAAATACCAAAACAATAATGCTCACAATAATTCAAACAATAAAATTAAATGTTTTGAATGCAACAAGTTCGGGCATATAAAAAAGAATTGCCCAGTGTTGAAATCAAAGAAAAAGTGTACTTATTGCAAGATAGCTGGCCACCTAGTGCAAAATTGTTTTTTCAAGAGAAATAAAGAAAATGCAAATGGTAAACAACAGAATCAGGATAACACTCAAGTGTTGATGGTAATTTCAAGCATTTTAACAGAAAATGATGAGACTGCATTGTTTAACCAAGAGCATTTGAATGGAAATGGTGCTTGGTGGCTAGATAGTGGAGCAACTGAGCATATGTGTAGCCAAATCGAATGTTTTGAATCATTGACAAAATTAAAAGAAGGGAGACAAGTAAAAATTGGAAATGGGACACTAATTGATGTGAATGGAGTGGGAAAAATTCAAGTACAAGCATGGGTAAAAACAATCCTTAACAACGTTTTATTTGTTCCCAATTTGGCAGTAAACTTGTTTTCTCTGAGTGCTGTGTTGGACCGAGGTTTTGAAATGCATTCAAACAAGGATAGATGTGATTTGTTAGACATGGAAGGTCGAATCATAGCAGTAGCAGTTAGACAAGGAAATTTGTATAAAATGCAGTTCAAAAACCAGATGAAAGTTGATAATGAAAAACCTGAAATATCACAGTGTAATATTGTGGAAAGTCTAACGGATTGGCACTGTAAATTGGCCCACATTAATTTTGAAAAAGTGAAAAGTGTCCTAAAGCATACCAATATAAAATTCAAGGATGAAAAGAAACCATTATGTACACAATGCCTAACTGGAAAACAACACCGACTTCCATTTCCTATAAGTGAATCCAGAGCAGAAAAATCAGGAAAGTTAATACACGCTGATTTGTGTGGACCGTTTGAAGTAGCCTCCTTAGGAGGAGCAAAATATTTTCTTTTGCTGAAGGATGATTTTTCTGGATACAGGTATGTTTATTTTTTAAACAATAAATCTGAAACTTTCTTGAAGATTAAACAGTTCATGGTGTTGGCTGAGAATATTACTGGCAATAAAATAATTACATTCCGTTCTGACAATGGTTTAGAATTCATTAATAAAGAATTGAAAAACTTGTTTGATACAAAGGGCATTCGACATGAAAGATCCTGTTCCTACACACCCCAGCAGAATGGAAGGGCAGAAAGAGATATGAGAACCATTGTAGAAGCTGCAAGGACCTTGCTACACAGTAAAAATATGGATAAGTCTTTCTGGGCAGAAGCAGTTAATTATGCTGTATTTACACTGAATAGAGTGGGGAGCAATTGCCAAACCAATGAATCACCATTTAAGTTATGGCACAATAAAGATTTTGATCTGACTTTCTTCAAGGAGTTTGGTACAACAGTAAAAGTACATGTACCAAAAGAGAAAAGGCTGAAATTAGATTCTAAAAATAGAGAAGGCATTTTTGTAGGCTACAGTGAGGAAATAAAGGGCTATCGAATTTACTTCAAGGACAAGAATAATGTAGAGACGCATAGAGACGTCGTATTAATACCTAGAATGAGTCAAGATGAAGTAAATCTCGAAGTAAATAGTCCCACTGAAAAAGTCATAAAATTGGACCTAGATAACAATGATGAGAGTGAATCAGAACCGGAAGTGGCCGAAGATGAAAACCAAGAAATGTATGGAATAGAAAACTTAGATGAAATAGGTGACCAAAACTCGAATGAAAACTCCATCAATGAAACAGGCGATATACAAGAAATAGAAATTGAAGATACCCCAGAATCCAGTACAAGATTACCTAAAAGAAAAATTCAGGCACCTACTTGGTTGAACGATTATGAGACGAGTTTCTTTTCAGAAAATGAGAACCCTATTAGTTTGGAAGAAGCCTTGAATGGAAATAATGCCACGAAATGGCAAGAGGCTATGGATAAGGAGCTGCAAGTTCTAAAAGAGAACAACACATGGTCAGAAGCACCATGGCCAAATGACAAGAAGGTGATTGAAAGCAAATGGGTCTTCAAAAAGAAAAGTGAAAGTGAATTTAAAGCGCGTTTAGTGGCTCGCGGATTTCAACAAGAAAGTGATGACAATTTTTATGACATTTATGCACCTGTGGCAAAATTGACAACCGTCAGGGTGCTACTAGTGCTTAGTCTGAAATTGGGTAAGCCAATTTTCCAAATGGACGTGAAAAGTGCATTTTTATATGGTGAAATCGAGGAAGAAGTTTTCATGACTTTACCAGGTAAAAATAAGAATAATTGTAGCACAGTTTGTAAATTGAACAAGTCCATTTAGTGCCGGTACTTATGCTCTCATTTGACAGCCGTTAAAAATAATCAGGGGTTAGAATGTGCTCTAACCACATCATACTTATAGACCTTGGCCCATGCAAAACTTTGACAACATATCAAATTCGTTAATCGAAAGCAAAAGTATCGGCCCTTATGGTCTCAAAAGATCACCTAAATGTTGGAATTCTAAATTTGATAATTTGATGAAAAGGGAAGGTTTTGATAGGTCAGAGAATGATTATTGCTTATATTCAAAATGTTCACAGAATGATCAGTTATTTGTAATATTGTATGTGGATGATCTTTTAATTCTTGGCACTAAATTGGAAAAAGTCAATAGCTTGAAATCAACTTTGCATACCAACTTCAGCATGAAGGATTTAGGAGTAATTTCTCAGTACTTGGGTATAGAGGTTGAACAAAATTTAAATCAAGTGTATGTTCAATTGAGTCAAGAAAGTTATTTAAAAGAAGTTTTGCAGAAATATGGTATGCAAGATTGTAAAGCTATTAGTACACCTATTGATATGAATAATGACCTTAGCTACTTAAAAAACTGTAATGCTGACCCTAAATTTCAAAATATTTGTAGAAAAATCATAGGCAGTCTCATGTACGCTGTACAGGGCACTAGGCCTGACTTATGTGAAAGTGTATGTCTTCTCAGTAGATTCCAGGAAAAAGCAGACGAAAATTTGTATAAAGCATTGAAAAGGGTCTTGAGATATGTAAAGGGCACCCTGAATTATGTTTTATTTTTTAAGTTAGAAGGTAATACTGCTTTGAGAGGATATGTAGATTCAGACTGGGGAGGGGATGTTCAAGATAGGAAGTCCACAACAGGATATATTTTTAAATTATATAACTGTACCATAATGTGGGCGAGTAAGAAACAGCAAAGTGTGTCAATCTCTTCCACAGAATCAGAATATGTGGCTCTAATGTTTGCAGTCAAAGAAGCATGTTGGCTGAGAAAAATTTTGAATGATTTTGGTTGCTTCAAAATGAATGAAAGTGTTATTATTTTGGAAGACAACCAATCTGCTATTAAAGTTGCTAACAATCCTGGAGACAATAAGAGATTGAAACACCTTGACATAAAACTAAATTTTGTGAAAGAGAAAATAGACAGTGGAGTGGTGGATATACAGTACATTAAAACCGAAGATCAACTGGCCGATATATTTACCAAGCCATTGTCTAGAGTCAAGTTTGAGAAATTCAGGGAGGGTTTGGGTTTGACCAAATCACTGCTCTAATTTTTTTTTGCTGTAAATTTTTATATTTTGGAATAATGGTAAAATACTTATATTGAGGGAGGGTGTTAAATTACATTGATCAATATCAGTATTTTACTCGGTATTTAATTATAAACTTAAGAATTTGTATTTTGTTTAGAACAACGTTAATCCTGGTAGAAGTGTGAATCTACCTTTAGTTGGCATGAAAAAGTTTGGTTAGGATTTTTCACGTTGTTGTTGTTCTGTCTGTTCGGTTCCAGCCTGAGCGTTGGCATGTTGTGCAAAATAAAAAGTTAATAATTCGCCGTTGTTTCATTGAATTTTACAAGCCCAAGCCATTAATTTTAACACCCCAGATGACGTTACAAAGTTCTCAGGCAACCTACATTATTTCTCTCTATAAAATTTCAATAACAATTACGGCAATTGCAGATCCTATGAATTTTCTAATTTTCGATAGTCAAGTTCTATTTTCATTTGTTACTAGTTCCTGTGCTGTAATGATTTTTCCTCGATTTTAATCCATATTTTAATT